ATTATACATTAAATTATAAAATACCTATCTGGGGGATTCCCAGACATGCAATTGAGGGAACCTCTAAGGGGACAAATTTTGATAAAATTTCATATAAAGAATTGTTAATTTGTTCTGGTTCGAATTGGCATTTGAAATCCCTAGATGTATTAAGGCAGCAAAATATTCTACAGTCATGGTTTCAATATTTACAAATAATGGATAGATGGACTGTAGACAAGAAAGAGGGAATAACACTAGAAGATAGACAATTGGTTATTCAGATTAAAAACCAAGGTCCGGCTCATATAAAAAGAATATATAATGTTTTATTAGAGTTAGATTCGGAAACAGAATTGGTTAAAGATTGTATGATTAAATGGGCTCAGAATATACAGGAGCCGATCTCATTGGATTTATGGGAGATAATTTGGATAAGAAATGTTAAATTTACACAAGCTCAAAATTTGAGAGAAAATTTTTATAAAATGTTTTATAGATGGCATTTAGATCCTAAAAAATTATCTTGTATGTATTCCAACATACAGCCCAAATGTTGGAGATGTGGCAATAATGATGCGACATACTTTCATATTTGGTGGAATTGTAAAAAAGTAAAGGCTTTTTGGATTATGATTTGGTGGAACATTCAAAAGATTTTTAGAAAGAAGATAAAGTTTACTCCTCAACTATTTTTACTTGGTATTTTTGTTGACTTAAATGAAAAAGAAACTACTTTGATGTTGAATTTATTAACTGCAGCAAGGTTACTAGTAGGTCTATATTGGAAGAAAGATTCTTTGCCTACTTTAGAAGAATGGATATTTAAAGTATCTAGTTTTGCAGAAATGGCAAAAATTTCTGCTTATTTAAAGGATCATACACAAGAAAGATATATTACTGTATGGGGAAGGTGGATAGATTATATTCAGAAAAAATATGGAATTAAAAAGTTTTATTTATTTTATGAATGAATATCAAATATTATAGAGAATTGTTTTATAAGTTATGGAGTTAAAGGTTAATTATGATATTTTTTTTCTTTCTCTTTTTTTTTCTTTTTTTTAATTATTATAATTTTCTTTTTCTTTTTTTTTCTTAACCCTGTATTCTGCTCTGGGAAGTGAAGGGAGGGGGGGTGGGGGTGGGAGGGAGGGTAAGGGGGGGGGTTCTCTATTTTAAAATTTTATTGTATTTTTATAAATGATTGTATGTTTTAAAAAATAAAAATTTTCAATAAAAAAAAAAAACAATGCGTGAGAGCATATGAAGCATTTCTTTCTGGGGAAGCAGCACCAGCCATGTAAAACCAGAAAAGGATGCAGTTGCTTTAAAGAGAGGAAGTGATGTCTTTATCCCGATTCCTCTTGGCAATGGAACCAAAAGTGTTTCTGAGCCTTATTTGAAACAAGGAGAAATAGAAGCATTCAAGAAGCTGTTGGCAAGCTGAGAATTTGTATTGTGAACTGTGGAATGAGAAATGCACGCAAACAAGTGGCTTAAAATCTCATTATATGTTTCTTTAGGTTGTCGTCATTTATCAGAATGTGATTCCTGCCAGTGTTTCATTGACTGCAAACAGCCAGAGCTACTTTCGTCCGAAGCAGAAGCTGCACTCGGACGATGCAGCAGCCTTTGGGAATTTTAAGATCGATGACGTTTGAGTTGTTGGTTTTTGTTTTTGTTTTTGTTTGCTTAGCATCTGCGTGTTTATTTATTTATTTATGAGACTTATATACCGCTTTAAGTGCGAGCTCTCTCTAAGCAGTGTACACCACTAAGCAATGTATATATATTTACATTGCCCCCAACAATATGGGTCCTCATTTTACCTACCTCGGAAGGATGGAAGGCTGAGTCACCCTTGTGTTTCCAGCTCCGTTGGGTTTTGGTTCAGCAGTGGATCCTGTGCCTCAAAAGTAGTATACAACCTAGTCCTAGACCCTTACATGTAAGTAACATATAAATATGAATCATTTCTAACAAGAGAGGCACTGTCATTCCGCTCATCTCCATACTCCCCCCGAGGGCCAGAGGTTCGCCCTGATAAACGTTCTTCACTGGGATGGGAAGATTGGCAGTCTGAGCAGTGGAAGGCAAGGACTCTGGGCCCCTGATCACAGGAGAATCCATGCTGGGCTTTGCAAGAAGTGCGGCTCCTTCAGGCCAGCAAATTTAGCAATGCTGGGGACCATAGAAAGGAAGGAAAAAGACAGAGGACATATAAAAGATGCATTCCCTGTCTTTTAATTCCCCATTCCCCAATGTTTTATTCTGCCTCAATAAGGCTGTGGGGGGTGGAACTTGAAGCAGAGCTTCAAGAGCTTCCTAAGACAGAGGTCTCCAACCTTTTGGGCACCAGGGACCGGTGCCATGGAGAAAGGTTTTTCCTGGACCAGAGCGGGTGTGGTTTTGAATACTGCCTGCATCCCGAGGGTGGAGCTTTGCTTGTTTGTGCGACCCTCTTGCTGGCATGCTGCGGACTGGTGCTGCTCCACGGACCAGGGGTCGAGGATCCCTGTCCTAAGGCTGCTGGGTCCCCTTTCACCATTCCCCAAGAGTTTCTCCACTGCAGGGCCAGCCTGAAGCACCGCCCGCGCCTTGCCTAACACGCTGGGCCATCTACTCGGTTGCTGAAACCAGGGATGTGAAGCCGGGAAACGGAGTTCTCTATAACAGGGATCTACAACCTTGACAGGTTTAACACTTGTGGACTTCAGCTCCCAGAATTCCTCAGCCAGCATGGCATGGAATTCTGGGAGCTGAAGTCCACAAGTGTTAAAGTTGTCACGGTTGCAGATCCCCCCTCTACAAGGAATTTTTATTTTTAATGTGTGCCGTTGTGCCCACAGGAAAAAAATGACAATAAAGGTTATCCATCCATCCTATTCTGTTCTGTGTTGTGCACATATGAACATTCTTGAAACATTTGTTATTCTGACCAGATAATGTACATCTACAAACTTTATAACCTGTCTCTGTTAAGGTAATCTTGAGGCCTATAGCGTGAGGTCTAGAAAAATAAAATCAACAGAAACAAATCCCTTCTATTAGTATTTACAGTAGCTTCCTTTAAAAAAAATCTTTATAAATATAAGAAAAAGTGTTGAAAGTAAAAATATCTATGCCTGGAGAAGGAGGAAATTGCTTGCTGTAGTGCATCCTATTGGCTGGTGGCTAAGAGAATATAAAATACATTTGCAAGTCTTTTAGAAGGGAGGGGATAAAATCTAAATTAACAGTGTATGTCATGTGTTTTGTTTCTCCTGCTGCATCATCCTGTTGATCTGATTATGCAGTGTGAATTGTAACTGAAGGTTGAAGCTGAAATTGTTGCTGCAGATCACCCAAATACTCATACGAATTATTGGAATCATTTTTGGGATCCTGATCAACATCGCTGAGGATCATTTGATATGCTACATCTTTATAGCGATACCCCATTGGAGCAGAATCTTGGTCATTCTACATCATGTTGTATTTAAAAACTCAACCAAACATCTGGGGATCCAGAGGTTGAACTGCACATAATTGCAGCCACAGGGTAAACTGCCCTTTGCTGAAGGATGCTTTGAGCTGTAATTTAGTAGCTGTTGGTTTCTTAGGCTTTGCTTTAGGAAAGGGATCACTTGGCTAGTTCAATTTCTTGACATGTCTGTTCCCCAAATTTCAGAAAATCACTGAACTCAGAGATTATCAATATTAATAGAGCTAACCTCGTTGGCTCTTTTTGTATGCAGTTCTCACTAAAGGGCTCAGTCACAATTTGCTTGCTTGGCAGCTGGCCTCTGTTTACAGTCACTTCATCAGCCTGTGGTCCCCATTACCAACCTTCACAGCTAGCTTCTGACAAGCAGAAGTCAATGGGGAAACCAGCAGGAGGTCGCAAGTCACATTAATCTGAATTTGTGCTTAAGGACTGTGTGCCATTTGCTTAATGACCACATAGAGAACCGATGGTGAAAGTCAGCATGGTGACATGGCAACACATTGAAGGACTGTACCAATTTGTAAGAGAGTTCCATCCCAACTGTGGCAAGTGGGCAAAGGACATGTGATCACTCCAATGAGAGGCAAATCAGACATATTCAAAGCATTGCCCCTGTAGCCTATAAAAACCCAGCAAATGCTCACCTGAAGGAGATTGTGGCATTCCAGTGTAAAATTTACTCCACAGAAAGCAAATTTATCATTTATTTTAAAGCTGTTTAAGCTGGAAACATGGAGGATTAATTCGGCTCCAGAGGTAAATTAACTGATCCTGGTGCTTTCTTGACTAGGAAGAGATGTACTTACCAAAAGTCTACTCTTGTTCATTCTTACAAGCTCTCTGCTGACCATCTTGGGTGGGGGTGGGGGTGGGGATAAGAACATTACAACATTCAAAAACACTTTACTGAAACACCATTCTGGGCTTCACAAAACAAACACATAATATAACAAATGGAGGAAAGTAGCCAACTTGCCCAGCCAACTTCTCAGCTTGTTTACATCTATGTCTATGATGGACTCCAGAATTTTTTTTATTGCTTCTGATGTAAGTTTTACAAAAGGTTAAAATGGTATAATTATTTATTCCAACCTTACCAAGACACTCCAATTTGCATCTCTCTTCTTCTTAGAAGCATTTCTTTTTTTAAAGCAAATCTCTTTTTTTTAATTCTTCAATTCACACAGTCATTTCTCCCTTCTGCTTTTCTAAAGGGGAAGTGGGAATAACGTGGGAAAACTATGACCCTTATCTCTATTTTCTTTTAAAGCTGCTGAAGCTTTCCCCAGACTTGCACAACAATGCTGAGAAAACACACATTAACATTCCCGTCTATTCCGAAGCAGCTTTTCTCAATCATTTCCAAAATACTGTCCTGCATGAACATAAACAAGGCTTGCTTAGAATTTAAAAGAAATGCGTCACGTTTTCTTGGTCACCTGGCACTTCTGGAGACCATCCAGGAACGGCGTAATAGGGCAGTTTATAAAAGGTGGGACTGTCCTGAACGCCAGTTCAAAGGAGAGAAGCCTCCAGGGCAAACTTTTAACTAATGTTTCCTAAAGTAGAAGGCAACAGCAACCGCGTTGTGATTTTGGAAACAAAGCCTAATTCCGAAGTGCTCCTTCTTCCCTCTGGATCCGGCTTTTACTTGGCTACTTGATCAGCTCAGCTGTACTTAGGAGGAAACGCTTTCTGATAAATTTGTACAGGGCTACTCTGCCCCCCCACCCTTCCCCCGCCACCCCCAGACATTCAAAGGGGACTAAGTAGAAAGGCCTCATTTTTAAAACAAAACAAGACAAAAAAATCAGATCGGACATAATTGCTTGGGATATACCTTAGTTTGTTCTCTTTCTATCTTTTAAAGATTGATTTAACATTTCCACAGGCTGCAACGTCCCCAGCAAGCTCCCTTGTTCTTTACAGCAAACAAAAGTTTGGAAGTCTTTAAAAACAAAAATTCTCCGAGATGCTGTGACGTCTCTAGCTGCAAAGATTAGGCTCGTGCAAGCTAGGCGGTTCCCTGAAATGGTCTAAGGAAGTGAAAACTGAGTTTTAGAAGAGGAAGAACGGCAACCCCTTTGAACGCGGGCGTTAGAGAAAAACCCGCTCTCCTCCCTCGCAGCTATCAGCCGCTCGCCAAACTTAAGGGAGAGGAAAGGAGCCGGAACGCCGGTCTTTCCACGAAACTCCGGCTGGGTGAGTTACCCTGCTCTTCCCGGGTGGGCGTCGGGCAACGCTGGGAAGATAAGAGGCTGGAGGGCGCCACGCTGAATGGGAGCGAATAGGACAACCTCGGCCAGGTCGCTCCCCGTCTCCCTTCATAATAATAATAATGATAATAATGATTGATGATGATGATGATAATAATAGTGAATTTGTCAGTGCCAATGGTAATAGGTGCCTTAGGTGTAATCCGAAAACAGCTGGAGCACCACTTGAACACCTTTGGCATTGACAAATTCGCCATTAGTCAATTGCAAAAGGCAGCTTTACTAGGAACTGCTTCCATCCTGCGACAATATCTGTAATACCATCAATTCAAACATCCACATCTGCCTATCCCAAGTCCTTGGTAAGGATTTGATAGGTAGACAAAAATGTCAAATCCAGACTGATCATCTAGCTGATTGTGCAATGATTAATAATCATAATAGTAATATAATAACAGTAACAACAATACTAATAATACTAATGCTACTAATACTAAAACTAATAATAATAATACACCAAACAGGCCTCCAAATGAAGAACAGAATGGAGGCATGGGAACACAAAGCACTACATGGCCAGTACATTAAAAAAAATAGCTGGGAAAGCAGAGACTAACAAGACCTGGCAATGGGTTAAAGAGCAGGAAAGTTGAAGAAAGAGATCTAGGGACTAATTCTGGCTGCACAAGACCAAGCCTTAAGGACAAATGTATACAAAGTCAAAATTGAGAATGGGAATTAAAAGATGGGATCATGTCTTTTCTACATTCTCTCTCTTTTTCCTTCCTTTCTATGGTCCCCAGCATTGCTGACTTTGCTGACCTAAAGGAGCCGCCCTTCTTGCAAAGCCCAGCATGCATGCTCCTCTAGTCCCAGGGTCCTTGCCTTCCACCACTCAGACTGATCTTCCAGTCCCATTGAAGAAATTTTATCAGGGTGAACCTCTGGCCCTGGGGGTGAGTATGGAGAGAAATGGAATGACAATTCCTCTTCGTGTTTTGCAAATCCCCGGTTCCCCTGTTCTGTTGCAGTAGGACTAGGAGGATTCTTTGCTATGTACTGTACGTACTGTATGAATATTCTTTTATTTTATTTTATTTTATTGAAAATTTTAAAGTTTTTACAAATAAGAAAGAAGAAGAAAAAAAAAAGACAAAAAACAAAAAACAACCCTAACCCACCCACCCCAACCCTCCCTATCCATCCCCCCCAACCTTCCCAGGGCTGAGTATAGGCTTAGTTAAAATTTTTAAAAATCTTAAAAAAAATTGAAAAAATATAAATCATAAGTATATCTAAATATATTACATAAACAACTTGTAAAGTAATTAATATTATATATATAAGAAAAAAGCATAAATATTAAAAAGAAAAAGTACTTGAAAGAGAAAAAAGTAAGAAAAAAAGAGAAAGAAGAAAAGAGATATGGAAAAAGTACAATCTATAAAATATTAAAATTTATATATAAGTTATTGAAAAACTAAATGATATTTTTATATCCAATTTATATTGTATAAAATTTATCCATTTTTCCCATACCGCAAAGAATTTCTCTTGCGATTGCTCCTTTAAGAAAGCCGAAATCTTTGCCATTTCCGCCAAATAAGAAACTTTAAAAAACCACTCTTGCAAGGTAGGCAAGGATTCCTTCTTCCAATATTGCCCTACTAACAGCCTTGCGGCTGTAATCAAATTTAACATCAATATAACCTCCTTAGCGTCACAATCAGTAACAATACCTAACAAAAACAATTGTGGGGTAAATTTTACCCTCTTTCTAAAACTTCTTTGAATATTCCACCATATCTTAATCCAAAAGGCTTTTATATTTTTACACGACCACCAAATATGATAATAAGTAGCATCCAAATAACCACATCTCCAACATTTAGGCTGTAAGTCAGGATACATACGAGACATTTTTTGTGGATCACGGTGCCATCTATAAAACATTTTATAGAAATTCTCCCTTAAGTTCTGGGCTTGTGTGAATTTAACATTCCTCACCCAGATAGTTTCCCAGGTATCCAGTAGAACTGGTTCACCAAAATTTTGTGTCCATTTAATCATACATTCTTTAATTAAATCTGATTCTGAATCCAGTTCTACTAGAACCCCATAAATTCTCTTAATATGAGTTCGCCTTTGATCTTTTACTTGTTTAAAAAGGTTTTCATCTTCTTTAAGCAGGCCCATATTATGGTCCATCTTCCATCTATCCACTATTTGTCTATACTGAAACCATGTATAAATAATATTTTCATGTGCTAAATCGTCCAAAGATTTTAACTGCCAATTTTGACCATCCCATCTAAGTAATTGTGTATAAGAAACACTATCCATCTTAACTCCTCTCCTTATCCCCTCTATCGCATGTCAAGGTATAGCCCATAATGGTATTTTAAAATCACTTTTATAATATTTCCTCCAAACCCTTCTGTTGCAATAGGACTAGGAGGATACTTTGCTATGTACTGCACATACTGTATGAATATTCTTGATCCATTTGTTTTATTGGCCAGCTAATGTAGCAGCTAAGAAGTATATACCCTCTCCCCCTTAAGGTGGTCTTGAGGTGAGCATGAGGCCTAGAAAAATAACATTAAAACAACAAAAAAGTCCTGGTTCAGGGACATTTGGAATTTTGTTGGTTCTCAACTCCTGACTATCACTGATCTTGTGATTTCTCTCTCTCTCTTTTCCAGATCACACAGATATTCATAGGAATCATAGGAATGATTTTTGGGATCCTGCTTGATATAATGAATGATTATTTCATCATCTATAGTGTTATAAAGATCGCTTATTGGAGTGGCATCTTGGTAATTTTACATAATGGTGTGTTTAAAAAGGTTAACAGCCCAACCAGGGATCCAGATGCACATCACAGCAGCTTCAGGGCAAACCGGTCTTACCTGAAGGATGCTATAGTTCAGCAGATTGGCTAGTTCCAGTTTGTGGCTTATGTCTGTTCTCCAGATTTCAGAAAACCGCTGAACGGAGAGATTACAACCTTAATAGAAGATATTACATTGACTCTCTTTCCTCAATTATCAAACAGCTCATTCAGCGATCATTTCAAATCACAATAAGTGTGTGTGTGTGTGGGGGGGGACCGGTTTTCAAACATCTGTCCATCAAAGTGTCTTCAATGTCCCCATGATTGCAATTTGGTTGCTTGGCGACTGGTGTGCATTTATAGTGGCTTTAGCATCCCGTGGTCATCAGATCACCGTTTGCAGCCTTCATCATCGGCTTCTGACAAGTTAAGTCAATGGGGAAGCTACGGTCGCAACAGGTTGCAAGTCACATCCATACGAATTTGTGCTTAATGACTTATTTGATTCACTCTATTACTGCATCTGGAACTGTCAATATAAGTCAACACAGTCATGTCACATAACACTTAATAACTGCACCAACTTGCCCAACTCAATTTTGGTGGGTGAGGACTGCCCAGATAATAACTCTGAATATCAATTGCCATTCAGGGCTACACTTCCTAGTGGTTTCATTCAACTTGACTCCTGAGTCTGAGAGTTGTTCACAGCCGCTGGGGACCTGTGTCCTTGCCACAACAACATGGGGAAAATGCTGAATACTACTGCAGTGCTACATAAAGTAAAATGCCTGTGACTGTAGCTCCTTCTTTAATGCCTCAAATCAGCTGCATCTTCAACTGGAATAGGGAACGTTGATTGAGTTTCAGCACAACAGATAATCAGAGAACAATAGGCAGGAATTTAAAATGGGAGAGAGAGAGAAATTATGGGTCTACATTGTTCTCTGGGCATGTAGCCATTGTGGTTCCCTTGCTTTTCCTTCTCTTCCAGTACATCATCTCTGGATCCTTAGCTGTGGCAGCTGCTCGGAATCCCAAGATCCCTCTGGTAATTAACCCATGTGACCCAAGTGAACAACATAGCTAAATCAGAAACCCTCCATTTCTGGGATCCTGGCCATGATCTCCCCCTTCTTCAGGAAAGGTTGGGAAAAAAAACCTCTCATCTGAAGCCCTGGAGAGCTACAAGCTCCTGGATTGCCAATCTTATGATGTTCCTGGATCATTAACATCTATTGGTGCATCATGATGATTCTGGATTGTTTAAGAGCCTCTCCATTCCAACTTCTTGTCCTGAATTCCCTTTTTGGAAACTCCAGGTGTTTTGTGGGTCATTTTATGCTAACATTTGGCAAAGAGGTTCTTTGTCTCAATCTCCAACTGAATATTCTGATTAGATGAGGCAGTTGCACTACTTAAGAACAACATGAAGGGAATTCAGCCATACCTGAGGGTGTAGAGCAGCAGTTCTATACCCCGCACCCCTAGAACGCTTATGATATATTCTCGCATCCCTTACAAAAAATGGTGCATATACACTATAATTTTGAAACTTCTAAACCCAGGTTTTTGTACCCTCTGGAATATCGTCTTGCACCCCCAGGGGGTGCGAGCATCCCCAGTTGGGAACCCCTGGTGTAGAGAGTAAAAGTCTGAAGCAAATTCAGAGCACAAAATCAGTTGAATCTCTTCATATGTGTGCGCCCATTTTTGTACATTTATTAATTTATTTTATTCCTCCTAGGTGCAAGGTGCGCTGGCCATGAATGTGATAAGTGCTGTATCAGCTGGTATTGGCATCATATTCTTGTCTTTCAGTATCACCACCCGTTTTTCATATCATTTCATGTTCCTTTGCCGTGAATTTGAACACAGTTATCAGGAAAAGTGTTATGAAAGTCTTGTAAGTCTGTGACCTTTCAGAATTGCTCTAAAAAGTTGGCCTCAGTACGACAGAGAAAGCAAAGGGAGCTCGTGGTAACCTCTAGCTGGACATGCAAATCTTTGGAGGGACATGGTGGGATCAAAAATATCTTTCAAACAGAGTTTTAACCATGGAATGGAGGGACAGAAATGTTGTCTTGGGGGTTTGAAAAGTTTGCCTGCTCTAATTTTCTTTCTCCCAATCTTTTCAGAACAGCTTCAAGAGTGATGTCTTCAAGGCATGGGCAAGAATTAAAATGGCAGAGTTTTGCCAGAGTTTTAATGGAATTGTTGTACCTGGCATTTCACTTTTTTTAATCAAATGTTAACTCTTTGTTTCACAAAAAGGTAGTTTGCAGTTTTTATTGTGTGGACAGGTCCCACCTTCACTAGGTGCTAGCTATGCTACTTAGGATGTGTTAGTCAGTCTGATGAGGTAGAACCAGTGCTTTTTTTGTAAAAAAAAAAAAAAAAGGTGCCAGAACTCACACATGTCATATAACCTGCCTTGCCTACCCTACAAGCTTCCATCCAAAAAAGTGCCAGAACTCCATTCTGGGCGTTCTATGAGAAAAAAAACCCTGGGCAGAATTGACCAGTAAACCATCTCTGCAGGAAAGCTACTGCTAATGTTATTGAAATTGGCTGTAATAACAGAAACATGCACTGCTGTTTGTGCTGTCCCTCCTCCCTGAATTACAGTTGTGGCCAAAATTGTGGCAACCTTTTGGGAAAAGTGTATTTTTGAGGTTTGATGGCTAATAACACCACTTTTTTTGAGTAGTACCATAAAATTATATATCAACGGAAAGATAATTTAATCAAGAATGTAATGCAACAAAGTTTGTTCAATTTTCTGTAGTATATTTTATAAAAAGGTACAGCCAAATAACCAGAAAAAGGAAGCATAACTTGCTTAGGTTGATATCAGGTAGCTTTCCTTCATCTGATTGTAGCCAATGAGCATGAGTGTTTAGAGAGCCAATCAGGTGTCATCTTGTTTTGGCATTGAGCAAATCAGATCACAGTAGGATTCAGTTACTGATGTCATGTATTGAAACTGAGAGGAGGACATCATCAGTGTATTATGTGATCGCTATCAAGTTGGTTGGGATTTTTTGTGTTCTTTCATTTAGTGAGCTTGTAAAACGTAATAAAATTAATGGTCCAAAGAGTTGACTGGTTGCCTAGAAAGTGATGTAAAATAGTATTATTAAGTGAACAAGGCTACAGTTATAAAGAAATTAGAAGAAAAATTGGTGGAAACTTAACCAAAGGTGTCATTTCTACTGTACACTTTTCCCAAAAGGTTGCTACAATTTTGGCCACTACTGTAGGTGTTGACCTGAGATAGTCTTGAATTATTTCATTGCTCTCATGTTTTTTAAAAAACACTTCTTCTTCCCTTTTGCCCAGGCAAAACAGAGCCTGCATATCTAATCCAGGTCATCTTCCTTACTCTAGAACTGGAGATACATATGCCTATCTCTATTTATAAAAATAGATATGTTTCTCTTCTACTTCATCGATAGCATATCATTCAAGGAATTTTGGCTGTTCTTCTTATATTCACCATCCTGGAGTTTTGCATCACCATCTCTGTTGCATCATTTGGCTGTAAAATGCTTTGCCGAAATGCCCTCACTGAAACGGTAAGATTCCAAAGGAAGAAGGGTAGTTAATCAAGGGAAGCAGATTCAGAAACAAATGCTGGCCAATAAGCTTAGTTTCTAGGGTAGCTCATACATTGTATTAAGTGTGCTGTCAAAGAAACAAAATAATCATTTGGCTTCACACAGTATGTTATGTTGCAAATCCCAAGTTATGGTTGATTCTCATATTGTGATAAACCTAATGGAAACAAACTACCTTACCTATCTCAGTGAGCCCAACCTTCATCTCTAACTAAGACTTGCTCAGAGTTGCCTCAGACTGGAAGATGGGTAGCAAATGAGTTTGATAATAAAATTGACAATACGTATCACCTCATCTGCACACAGTCCAGCAACACTTCAGGTAGAATCCCCAAAATGTGTATGAGCATATGAAGCATTTCTTTCTGGGGAAGCAGCACCAGCCATGTTAAACCAGAAAAGGATGCAGTTGCTTTAAAGAGAGGAAGTGATGTCTTTATCCAGATTCCTCTTGGCAACGGAACCAAAAGTGCTGAGCCTTATTTGAAACAAGGAGAGACAGAAGCATTCAAGAAGCTATTGGCAGGCTGAGAATTTGTATTGTGAACTGTGGAATGAGAAATGCACGCAAACAAGTGGCTTAAAATCTCATTATATGTTTCTTTAGGTTGTCGTCATTTATGAGAATGTGACTCCTGCCAGTGTTGAACATCCATCCATCGACTGCAAACAGCCAGAGTTCCCTTGAGTTGCTTTTCCTTCTTGGCAGCTATTCTGGAATACATTGGCTCCTGCAAAATTGAAGACTTGAACTTTTGAAGGATTTGCATGGAACTTTTACTCAGCGGAACCTAAAATATTTAGTGGGCTAAGCCAAACACCATGTGTAAAAGATCTTGAGAATGTGAATGTTCTTGATTGCTGGTTAAGACATGTCTCTGTGAACTGGTTGGCACTTTGTACCAACCTTGTTATGTTTTGCTGTTGGAAAATGCACAATTGGTCGAGTTTATACAACACATTATGGATAAGCTATAGTTTCTACTTTACAATGGCTGTGTCACAGATTAGACAAAATCCAAAGCTTACTTCAACAGAACTTAGGAAAATATTTTGTTGCACTCAGCTACACTCATACAACCAATTATGCTAGTTGTGTGAAATCATCTAATGCTTGCAACACACTCCAGAATTTGATTTGTGGGATGTAACAATGACCCTGGGAAGCCTTCATATAAAAGTCTCAGCAGCCGTATATTCCAATGAAAACTAAAGAGTCAAATTTATAGCCATAATTTAAAATTTTAACCTGTTTGTTCAGTGGTTAAGATACCAGGAGACTGTGAGTTCTAGTCCCACCTTATAAAGAAAAGCCAGCTGGGCGACTCTGGGCCATTCTCTCTCTCAGCCCAACTAATTTCATAGGGTTGTTGTGGGGAAAGCTGGAAGAGGAAGGAATATTAGCTATGTTTGCTGCCTTAAATCATTTATAAAAATAATGAAGACAGGATATAAATGTATACAGAAGACAAACCGTGTTTCCTTGCCACTCGACCTTCCATCAAGGCTGCCTTCTGCCCATCCAGCTTATCTCACTATTTTATTTTAGGCAAGACTGTACTCCAGACTAATAATAATAAACTGCTGAGCACTTATTACTTGCTGTTTTTATTTTCTCTAAGTTCCACAGAAATAAAGAGGGTCATAGGGGTGTGTGCGCGCGCGTGTGTGTCTCATTGTTTGGGATACTCTCTCTCTTTTCTCTCTCATTTTGCCGGCCCTGGTGCTTAACAACAAAGAAGAGTGTGGAAGGCTTAAAAGATACCCAGATGCTGCAATGTGTCCACATTTAACAAAGATCAGGCATAATAATAATAACAACAATGTGTGAGACCATATGAAGCATTTCTTTCTGGGGAAGCAGCACCAGCCATGTAAAACCAGAAAAGGATGCAGTTGCTTTAAAGAGAGGAAGTGATGTCTTTATCCCGATTCCTCTTGGCAATGGAACCAAAAGTGTTTCTGAGCCTTATTTGAAACAAGGAGAAATAGAAGCATTCAAGAAGCTGTTGGCAAGCTGAGAATTTGTATTGTGAACTGTGGAATGAGAAATGCACGCAAACAAGTGGCTTAAAATCTCATTATATGTTTCTTTAGGTTGTTGTCATTTATCAGAATGTGATTCCTGCCAGTGTTTCATCGACGGCAAACAGCCAGAACTGCTTTCGTCCGAAGCAGAAGCTGGATTCGGGTGATGCAGCAGCCTTTGAGAATTTTAAGATCGATGATGTTTGAGTTGTTGGTTTTTGTTTTTGTTTTTGTTTGCTTAGCATCTGCGTGTTTCCAGCTCCATTGGGTTTAGGTTCAGCAGCGGATCCTGTGCCTCGAAAGCAGTATACAACCTAGACCCTTACATGTAAGTAACATATAAATATGAATCATTCCTAATTTTTAACAAGAGAGGCACCGTCATTCCAGATGGGGTGTGGTTTTGAATACTGCCTGCATCCCGAGGGTGGAGGTTTGCTTGTTTGTGCGACCCTCTTGCTGGCATGCTGCGGACTGGTCCTGGTCCACGGACCAAGGGTCGAGGACCCCTGTCCTAAGGATGCTGGGTCCCCTTTCGCCATTCCCCAAGAGTTTCTCCACTGCAGGGCCAGCCTGAAGCACTGCCCATGCTTCGGCTAATGTGCCGGGCCATCTACTCGGTTGCCGAAAAGGGGGATGCGAAGCCAGGAAACGGAATTCTCTATAACAGGGATCTACAACTTTGACAGCTTTAACACTTGTGGACTTCAGCTCCCAGAATTCCTCAGCCAGCATGGCATAGAATTCTGGCTGAGGAATTCTGGGAGCTGAAGTCCACAAGTGTTAAAGTTGTCACGGTTACAGATCCCTCCTCTACAAGGAATTTTCATTTTTAATGTGTGCCGTTGTGCCCACAGGAAAAAAATGACAATAAAGGTTATTCATCCATCCTATTCTGTTGCAATAGTATCATGAGGATTCTGTGTTGTGCACGTATGAACATTCTTGAAAGATTTGTTATTCTGACCAGATAATGTACATCTATAAACTTTATAACCTGTCTCTGTTAAGGTAATCTTGAGGCCTGTAGCGTGAGATCTGGAAAAATAAAATACAGAAACAAATCCCTTCTCTTAGTATTTACAGTAGCTCTATGTGGTCATTTGCTTAATGACCACATAGAGAACCGATGGTGCAAGTCAGCATGATGACATGGCAACACATTGAAGGACTGTACCAATTTGTAAGAGAGTTCCATCCCAACCATGGCAGGTGGAGACTTGCCTGTATAACCATTCTATTACCAGTGGCCATTCCATGGCTATGGTTCCTAGTGGCTTAATTCAACTTGCACCATGAGGCTGAGCATAGTTCGCAGCATCTGAAGGACTGCACCAATTTGTAAGAGAGTTCCATCCCAACTGTGGCAAGTGGGCAAAGGACATATGATCAGTCCAATGAAAGGCAAATCACAGTTATTCAAAGAATTTGGCCCTATAGCCTATGAAAACCCAGCAAATGCTCTCCTGAAGGAGATTGTGGCATTCCAGTGTAAAATTTACTCCACAGAAAGCAAATTTATCATTTATTTTAAAGCTGTCTAAACTGGAAACATGGAGGATTAATTTGGTTCCAGAGGTAAATTAACTGATTCTGGGGCTTTCTTGACTAGGAAGAGATGTACTTACCAAAAGTCACTCCTGTTCACTCTTACAAGCTCTCTGCTGACCATCAGGGGTGGGGGGTGGGGTGGGGATAAGAACATTACAACATTCAAAAACACTTTACTGAAACACCATTCTGGGCTTCACAAAACAAATACATAATATAACAAATGGAGGAAAGTAGCCAACTTGCCTAGCCAACTTCTCAGCTGGTTTACATCTATGTCTATGATGGACTCCAGGATTTTTTTTATCATTTTTGATGTAAGTTTTACAAAAAGTTAAAATGGTATAATTATTTATTCCAACTTTACCAAGACACTCCAACTTGCATCACTGTTGTTCTTAGAAGCATTTCTTTTTTTAAAGCAAATCTCTTTTTTTTAATTCTTCAATTCACAGTCATTTCTTCCTTCTGCTTTTCTAAAGGGGAAGTGGGAATAACATAAACAATTTCTGCCTAAATTCTGTTTTTTAAGCAGAAAATCATTCTTTGTTTTGTAAAGATAGCCAAATAACAGTGCACACAAAAATCACTTTTGTGAGAATTTCTTCTTTAAAATAATTGGGAAACGTTTAGATCAAGAGCTGGGAAAGAAGTCTGGCAAGATGGTTTTTGCTGAAATCTCTGAAGCCAGAAAAAAAGCTTATAAAGTTCCCTCTATTTGGACAACAAAATCTCAACCATTTATTTTACAAAAACGGAAGGAGGGGTAGGGAGGGAGGGATAAGCAAATAATATCAAGTAGGGCTGTCTAATGATTTCAATTTAATTCCAAAAATATGTTTTGCAATATGTAAGTGGGAAAACGATGACCCTTATCTTATTATTTTTAAAGCAGCTGAATCTTTTCCCAGACTTGCACCATAATCCTGAGAAAAAACACAGGCACCACGTTAATATTCCCATGTATTCCGAAGCAGCTTTTCTCCATCTTTTCCAAAATACTGTCCTGCATGAGCATAAACAAGGGTTGCTTAGAATTTAAAAGAAATGCGTCACGTTTTCTTGGTCACCTGGCACTTCTGAAGACCATCCCAGAACGGCGTAATAGGGCAGTTTATAAACGGTGGGATTGTCTGAACGCCAGTTCAAAGGAGAGAAACCTCCAGGGCAATCTTTAAGCTAATGTTTCCTAAACTAGAAGGCAGCAGCAACCGCGTTGTGATTTTGGAAACAAAGCCTAATTCAGAAGTGCTCCTTCTTCTCTCTGGATCCAGCTTTTACTTGGCTACTTGATCAGCTCAGCTGTACTCAGGAGGAAACGCTTTCTGATAAATTTGTACAGGGCTACTCTGCCCCCCACCTTTCCCCCGCCACCCCCAGACATTCAAAGGGGACTAAGTAGAAAGGCCTCATTTTAAAAAAAACAAAACAAAACAAAAATCAGATCGGACATAATTGCCTGGGATATACCTTAGTTCAAGGCTTTTCAACCAGTGGTACGGGTACCACCTGTGGTACATTGGCACCTGGCAGGTGGTACACGACCATCCTAGAAAAGTGGTAGTGGGGGAGGGGAATGAGCTGAACCAGTGGCAGCACTGCACAAGCCTGAGCGAGAGATGGCTGGAGCTGCAGGGCTGTCAGGGCTCAGTGCAAGCGCCAGGATCAATGCCGCTTTCCAGCTGATCGGTGCTTCGGGGCTGTCAGGGCTCAGCGGAAGCGCCAGGATCAACAACAGGCTCCAGCTGAAAAGCAGCACTGATCCTGGCACTTCTGCTGAGCCCAGAAGAAGCGCCGATTAGCTGGAATGTTGCAGCATCTCCAGGGTCTTGTGATTTACATTCAGATGCTTGGCAACTGATTTATATTTATAACAGTCACAGTGTTCCAGGGTCATGTGAAATGACCAAAACCTGCTGCAACCACCCAGCAGACGGGGGAAATAAAAACCAAACACCTCCCGCCCCACCCCCACTGCCAATCCTCAACAAAAATGCTCACAACAATGAAAACCTCGGACAGGAGGAAGAGCACTGCTGGGCGGGCAGGCAGGTGTTTTGCTCAGCTGTGGCTTGGTGGGCACTTTTTGCAGTGCCATTGTAACTTTGAACAGTCACTAAGTGAACTGTTATAAATCGAGGATTAACTGTATTTTATCACTTTTTTCCTCTTTTTTTTGGTCATCAAGGTTTTTTTTTTAATTAAATTTTTTTGCAATTTTACAATAAAATCCCTCTCCCACTGCCTCCCTACCCTCCCAGAAACCCTCCCCCCGTCTTCCCAGAGCTGAATACAGGGTTAACTAGAACTAAAAAATACAAAACATTTAAACTTAAATAAACCTCAAACAAATATTACATTAAAAAAAACAATTTTTTAAGTACTTTAAGTCCAATATATATATATATATATAAAATAAAAAATACTTATTATCTTAAACTTTAAACATAAATTATTCAAAAGCTAAATAATATCTTTTAATATCATACTTATACTTTATAAAGTTTATCCATCTTTTCCACACCAAGAGATATTTCTCTTGCGATTGATCTTTCAAATAAGCCGAAATTTTTGCCATTTCAGATAAGTAAGAAACTTTAAAAAACCATTCCTCCAAAGTAGGCAAAAATTCCTTCTTCCAATATTGTCCTATCAACAACCTTGCCGCTGTGATTAAATTTAACATTAAAATAATTTCTTTATCGTCACAATCAACAATAATACCTAACAAAAACAATTGTGGAGTGAATTTTATCCTTCTATTAAAATTTTTTTGAATATTCCACCATATCTTTATCCAAAAAACTTTTATGCTTTTACATGACCACCAAATATGATAATACGTTGCATCCAGACAACCACATCTCCAACATTTAGGTTGCAAATTTGAATACATACGAGACATCTTTTGTGGATCAAGGTGCCGTCTATAAAACATTTTATAAAAATTTTCCCGTAAATTTTGAGCTTGCGTAAATTTAATATTCCTCACCCAAATTATCTCCCATGTTTCTAAT